CATACTGACCAGTACCAGGCAGAAGAAATTGAACATGTAGTTATTGAATGGAATATTTCGGACAGAATATCTGCGATAGTACACGATAACGGTGCAAACATTGCCCACGTGGCAGAAATAATTAACACTGAATCTAAAGATGTTTCTTGTGCAGCACATACATTGCAATTAGTGATCAATAAAGCAATCCCAGCAAACATTTTCTATAACATTAGTTATAACTCGACTTTGTTAAAGACGAATTTACTTATTGAGGTAATTATTACGTAAAATTGACTAGAAAAATATACCTCTAATGTAAATTTACCAAACGGTTTTAATTTATATTTAAATTTACGTAAATTATACCAAGAAATCTACCTTTTACACAAATCTGCTTAAAAGTAACTTTAACCATATCAGCAAGGGAAAAACTACTAAAAAAAATAACCAACAATTACTTCAAAGTTAAATTTCCTTTGTAGTAAAATTAGGTGCCATATTTAGGTAATATCTACCTGTTTGGCAACTAAAAATCGTCTTTATAGTAGAATATCCAACTAAGTAGATTTGGTTAAAAATTCTACGTAATTTTATACCTCCATAGTAACCTATTTGGCCGCTTTTTTTTACTCTCCTTTAAAGTAATATTAGGTCGAGATCGTATCAAAATTCTACCTGTTTATTTACCTAATTTCAACCAAATAGTCGAATACTCATTTAGTTGACCTATAAGTCATCTTGAAGAAATATTTATTAACTTTGTTGTAGCAATTACCTGATAAATCTACCACAAAGTAAATTCGACTAAAAACCACCAATTTAAAAAGAGTCATACATGACCTATTTGTAAAATTTATATTATTTAGGTTATTTTAACAATTAGGTTGTTCAGTTACTGTCTTCGTCATTATTCTTAAGAATTTCGGCCATTTTAAAAAAACCATTACAGTGGTTATATTAATTTACGTGTGGTGTAGATAGAGCTTTAAATGAGTGCGGAAAATAATTAATAAAATGAGTTCGAAAAATAATAAATCATATCATTATATTTCCGATTTTTATCGTAAAGTGAAACGTCTAAAATCTCAAGTGCAGAACAACGTGACCTAAATATGTTATATTTACCTATAGGTAAATTTTTTATAAAACCTATAAGTTATTATTTCTTTAAATAGGTAAAGTTAACTAATATGTCGTGAAATTGAAGTTAATTCAACTTAGTAAAAAGGTATTTGTAAAATACGTAGATTTCCTTAGTCATAATAACTTTTAGGTCGAATTCGCCCAATACGCCATATTTTCTTAACGTAATTGAAGTACGATTCCAAATTTTAAATTTTTAAAATGACCATAACTAGAACATACGAATGAAAATACCGAAAAACGAAACATTGTTGATTTTCTAAAGTGATACACAACAAACGTAATATAGTTTTAGCTCATAATATTATTATTTTTTTACACGATCATATTTTTTTCTTATATTTTTTTAATTAGAGAGTATTTTGGAAGGGCATTGTTATTTTTCTAAGCAGAACTGTTAACATGCACGACAAAATTTTCTTCGCATTAATTTCAACAAGCGTGAACTGTATATTCACCGCAATTACATTACATATATTTTTGTCAACGACATTTATTTATTTATTTTCAATCTTTCATGTGAATTAGGTATATGTTTTAGTTGTGTTGGTGACTTGTTATAATATTTCTACTTATATATAGATAAAAATACCAAATAAGTATAAACTTTCTTTTCGTACACTTGGAGGCATACGTCATCTGCAAATATTTTGGTAGTTTCTACCTAAACTTAGTTAAATCAACGTCGAATTAACGTTATACTGACGTCAAATTTCCCTAGAGAGGTATTACTAACCAAACGTACTGGACTACTATAATGTGGATTTAGATGTAATTCTACCTATTTTGGTAAATAAAACCAAATTTCGACGTCGTCTTATTCTCCACTTATGTCGAATCCACGTCGAGCCAACGTAAATTTTACTTAATTATGGTTAAATCTAATTTTGCGACCAAATTTATTATATATAATTTAGGTAGTATCGACGTCAAATTACACCAAAATGTTTGCTGGGATGGGTATAGATAAGACTGGGCCACTTTAGCCACAGTACATTAGCTACTTCCGAACTGAAGAAGAAACAAAAACATTTTGAATCCGCCAAAGATAAAACGGGAGTTGAAGAAGAACCCTTGTCACTTATACAGTACTGTCGCACACGATGGAATTCTATATACCACATGCTGGAAAGACTACATAAATTGAGGTAAATTTTGTTTAAACTTTACAGAGTAAGTGAAAATTATAATAAACATTTTTTTCTTCTGTTTAATTTAGATGGTCCCTGTGTGTTGTACTTGGTGATAGTAACGTAATAAAACGATCCGCAATGCACTTAGACCTGAACGACGAAATGTGGTCGCTTATGGAAGAAATTTTACCTACGCTTAACCTTCTAAAAATCGCGAATACATTAGTTTGTGGAGAAAAGTATGTTACCATATCGGATGTTTTAAGAATTGTAGTGGCACTTTTTGACAAATTTTCAAACAACTCTGAAGACGATAGCGCTGTTCTAAAAGACTTAAAAAATGCTTTAATAACCGGATTAAATACACGTTTTATAAACAAAATCGAGGAAAGTAATAACCTATATCTAAAGGCCATGGCAGTTGATCCGAGATTTAAAGATATCAATTTTTTCTTCGTCACTTTTGAGTTGCGTCAAAAAATTTATGCATATATTCGCGAAGAAATTAAATCTAATAAAAATCGGGAACAGCCACATTTAGACACGGAATACAAGAATGCAGAAGTCGGAGGAAGAGGAGAAAGAAAAACAGCGGTGTGAAGAAAAAATGAAGACAAAAAGCAACAAAAAATAACTTTTTAATTATTAATGCAGTTGAATTACTAATTTAATATGTACTTTCGCTTATTTAGGTCCTAGTTCAGAGAATGAAGAGCAGGTACAGGATGATGAATACGAGCGGTTTCTTGCGGCAAATAAAATTGAAAGGAGCGACGATCCCACTTCGTGGTGGCAAGTGAATGGAAAAGAATTTCCGGCTACAGCTTTTGTAGCCAAACGATATTTGGGAATACCTGCCATTTCAATTGCGAGTAAGCGTCATTTTTCCGCCGCGGGTCGAATCATTACAAAAAAATAGAGTTCGTTTAAATCCCAAATTTTCTACAAAACAACTTTTTGTTAACAGGAATCGAGTGTGTGCAGAATGCAAATAACATAACTAGGGTACTTCTTACATTCTTACTTCTTAGATTTGTTTATTTTGTGTATACTGTATAGATGTAGAATATTATATTTACGTTTGTGTCTTTATGGAAATTAAATATTTATTTTCAATGATTGCGGAAATTATTACCCCGAATCAGTGCCGGATTCATATTTTTTATGAGTGTAGGCCACTTTATTTCCACCGCCCCATGTACCTCTCTAAAATAATAATTTTCCATTTGTAGTGAGGAAGACACTAAAGTTAAATAAACGAATGAATTAGTCATTAAGAAAGAGCGTAAACAAGAAACAAGAATTACAATTTTTTACGAGACTTTTTAATAGCAAAATCATCTATAATATCATCATAGTTTATAGTGTTTATTATCTCTGCTTCTTTGTAGAGAAAAGCTAAAGAACTCATTTTTTCTTGAGACAATGAAGACCTTTGATAATTTTTCAGGCGTTTTAAACAGGAAAAACTTCTTTTCCTAGAACAATTTGTAGCCGGAGTGGAAAGTGAGATGCGGAGAACTATATCCAAGTTAGGGTAAACATTAGACAGAGATTGATTCCTTAAAAACCTTGAGAGACAGTAGTGAGTTTGATCCAGGCTTCACTGCACACTCTGTAGTTTTATTAGAGAAAATGTGCCTGTGAAAATGTACACATTCTTGAACCAAATCGTCGTAATATAGATAAAATAGATACAATAACAGTAGGTACCTAGGATTAATCATTTTCGATAGGAATGAGTTTCTATAGGGATTTTACGTATTAGTATAAAAAAAACAATGAGAAAACCAGTGAACTTGTTTGACTTTTATTCTCTGAAATCAAGTAAGCGTCCTCTGAAATCTGCCGCCCCTAGGATGCTACCGCCCCTAGGCCGCGGCCTATATGGCCTATTGACAAATCCAGGACTGTCCCGAATTAAAAACAAATGAAGCAGGTATGAAGCTCTATAGATAAAAAAAGATAGAGGGGTTTAACGGGTCTTAAATTCTTATTAAAGGGCCTTAACAGGCTAACGGTTCGTAACGGGTTCTAACGGGTAGCAAAATGTATAACCCGGACCCGTGGGCGAAACGGGTACCCGGGTACCCGTCATCATTCCTATCACTAACCATTGCGCATGATTTTTATCTTCAACCTTAATCTATACGTTTCCTTTTTAGTGCCTTTTTTCCGTTTAAGTCGGACCAATAGCAACGAAGATATAGACTTGGACCCTTTTGGCTTTGCCAGTGTGCATGATTATTTTTATCTTTAACGTTAGTCTATACCACGTCTCCTTTACAACGCCGTTTTTCCTGTTTGAATCGAACTAATAAAAATAGAGATATACACTTAGGTCCTTTTGACATATTCATTGCGCATGATTTTTTCTCTTTAACTTTTACCTATACTCGTTCTTTTAAACTATGGCCGCCATCTTGGATCATTTAGCAGAATCTCATACCACTTATCCAAGTTTCAGTTCCAAACACTGACAGGTGGCTTTTGAAAGTAGTGAGCACATGATCCCTTGTGTATCTGCTATTGTTATACCCAATTAACAGAAGCAGTGTTTTATGTCAATTAGAATTTAACATACAGTCCACAATAAGATAATCAATAAAGATGAAAAACAACGCAGGCTGGTCCAAATTCACATCCACATCCAATATAAAAGAAAGAAAAGATAAACTTTAAGAAATCTATTAGAAAAAAATTCTATACCAGTAACCTTGCGGGAATGAGTTTTTTACTTACAGCAGTGTGAAAAGCAATATATTTAGTCCAAAGCTCCGATGAATTAGGATTGGCTAGTAACAATCTATCAAATTGTTCGGCACTTTCTGGCGTTCTCGTCGAATCGGCCAATTCGTTTTCGATTTTAGAAATTCTCGCTTCCTCTTCTTTTGCTTGTTGAGCCCGTTCAGCAGCTGACAACTTCTTTTTCTTTTTAACCATTGTTTCCTACAAAGAACAATAATTATAGAAAGTTTTACTTATTAACTAGGATTACCTGGATGCATTATTAAAAGAACAAATTGTTAAGAATCATAAATCTCTAATTTTAAATTAAAAAACTTACCTCCACTTCATCGTCAGAAGACACCTCAGGTTCGACATTAGTTTTCGTGTTAAAAAAGGAACTAACACCCGATAGGACAGGCCTCTTTGCAGAATTATTTGATGAAACACCATTAATTTGTTTTTTAACTTGAACTTCTTCGATTTCTTCATCTTCAGAAGTTTCATTATTCTCGGACGGTTTCTCCTCTTCATCATCTTTGGAACTTTCGTTATCTTCAGAATTCTCATCCATTTCTTCATGTGATATTTCTGGCGTTCTCGTCGAATCGGCCAATTCGTTTTCGATTTTAGAAATTCTCGCTAACTCTTCTTTTGCTTGTTGAGCCCGTTCAGCAGCTGACAACTTCTTTTTCTTTTTAACCGTTGTTTCCTACAAAGAACAATAATTATAGAAAGTTTTACTTATTAACTAGGATTACCTGGATGCATTATTAAAAGAACAAATTGTTAAGAATCATAAATCTCTAATTTTAAATTAAAAAACTTACCTCCACTTCATCGTCAGAAGACACCTCAGGTTCGACATTAGTTTTCGTGTTAAAAAAGGAACTAACATCCGATAGGACAGGCCTCTTTGCAGAATTATTTGATGAAACACCATTAATTTGTTTTTTAACTTGAACTTCTTCGATTTCTTCATCTTCAGAAGTTTCATTATTCTCGGACGGTTTCTCCTCTTCATCATCTTTGGAACTTTCGTTATCTTCAGAATTCTCATCCATTTCTTCATGTGATATTTCTGGCGTTCTCGTCGAATCGGCCAATTCGTTTTCGATTTTAGAAATTCTCGCTAACTCTTCTTTTGCTTGTTGAGCCCGTTCAGCAGCTGACAACTTCTTTTTCTTTTTAACCGTTGTTTCCTACAAAGAACAATAATTATAGAAAGTTTTACTTATTAACTAGGATTACCTGGATGCATTATTAAAAGAACAAATTGTTAAGAATCATAAATCTCTAATTTTAAATTAAAAAACTTACCTCCACTTCATCGTCAGAAGACACCTCAGGTTCGACATTAGTTTTCGTGTTAAAAAAGGAACTAACACCCGATAGGACAGGCCCCTTTGCAGAATTATTTGATGAAACACCATTAATTTGTTTTTTAACTTGAACTTCTTCGATTTCTTCATCTTTAGAAGTTTCATTATTCTCGGACGGTTTCTCCTCTTCATCATCTTTGGAACTTTCGTTATGTTCAGAATTCTCATCCATTTCTTCATCTGATATTTCTGGCTTCACTTCATCATCTTCAGAATTCTCATCCATTTCTTCATCTGATATTTCTGGCTTCACTTCATCATCTTCAGAATTCTCATCCATTTCTTCATCTGATATTTCTGGCTTCACTTCATCATCTTCAGAATCCTCATCCACTTCTTCATGTGATATTTCTGGCTTCTCTTCGTCGTCCAAATCTTCTGCCTCTTCTTTCATCTCGATTTTAATTTCTTCTGACATCTCTTCATGTGATATTTCTGGCTTCTCTTCGTCGTCCAAATCTTCTGCCTCTTCTTTCATCTCGATTTTAATTTCTTCTGACATCTCTTCATGTGATATTTCTGGCTTCTCTTCGTCGTCCAAATCTTCTGCCTCTTCTTTCATCTCGATTTTAATTTCTTCTGACATCTCTTCATGTGATATTTCTGGCTTCTCTTCGTCGTCCAAATCTTCTGCCTCTTCTTTCATCTCGATTTTAATTTCTTCTGACATCTCTTCATGTGATATTTCTGGCTTCTCTTCGTCGTCCAAATCTTCTGCCTCTTCTTTCATCTCGATTTTAATTTCTTCTGACATCTCTTCATGTGATATTTCTGGCTTCTCTTCGTCGTCCAAATCTTCTGCCTCTTCTTTCATCTCGATTTTAATTTCTTCTGACATCTCTTCATGTGATATTTCTGGCTTCTCTTCGTCGTCCAAATCTTCTGCCTCTTCTTTCATCTCGATTTTAATTTCTTCTGACATCTCTTCATCTTCTGAATCTTGAGCTGCCTCTTCAACCTCCATTTTAATTTCTTCTTTGTTACGTGATGTGCGTTTTTCTGATTCTTTAATTTTCTTTTCAGTTCTAATAGCTTTAATTGTACTAATTTTCTCTTTAGTTTTATCCAGAGTTACAAATAACTTTTTGCTCATACCGACTAAACGTTTATCGACTTTTCTAAAAAATAATTTAATATTTTCATACAAGAATCAAAGACTAAAAATATAGAACCTTACCCGCATATAGAAATTTTAAACTTTTCTTGTTGATAATATCGCGAGCAACCTTCAAAATCATTTTCGTGTAGAAATAGAGGGATATAGACCAACTGTCTATTCCCGTCTTTTTGTTTTAAAAGCGCAATAACCAAATCAGTTTTAAGAAGGATATTTTCTACTATGCAAGATGATAAATTTGGACAACTAATCAGTCCATCTGTAAAAAAAGAGTGTGTGTTATCGAACGCACGATAGAAGTGAAACTTAGATGAATTCGCTCTGAAATGAAAAATCTGATGTGTCCCACACATGACTTTCCTGTCTAGTTATTACAGGCTTTTCCGAATATTTTGAACAACTTATTGTATCACCCTTGTAATAGTTTAGAGAATAATTACATACATTTTACACTCGCATCTTGCACGAAACATTTTTTTATATATATTCATTGCTAATGAGAAATTAAAATTTTACGCTTTTCCTTAAATTTTTCCATTACGGTCCATTTTAGAAAAATCATGTATAGAACAAAAATTATAGAGAATATCGGAATAATTTTTAAAATATTCGAAAAAAAAATCCAGAAATAATTTAAGCACTAGTGGTATTATAAGTAAAAATGAGTAAAAATTTGGATTTTGCACTTTACCTCAAATTTCTAAAAAATGGTCGAGTTTAGGAAAATCATGTATGGGTTAAAAATTATACATGAGATTAAAATTTTACACTTTTTGTAAAATTTTTCGAAAACGGCCCATTTTAGGAAAATCATCTTAAATTATAAGTAATCACAATAGGAGCAACTTTTATTTGACAAATTTTCTTCTTTGAGATTCGTTGAAATTCGTTGAGATTCTTTGAGATCCTTTTAGATTCTTTGAGATTCTTTGAGATTCTTTGAGATTCTTTGAGATTCTTTGAGATTCTTTGAGAATCTTTGAGATTCTTTAAGAATCTTTGAATTTATTTGCATTTCTTTGAATTTCTTTGAATTTCTTTGAATTTCTTTGAATTTCTTCGAATTTCTTTGAATTTCTTTGAATTTCTTTGAATTTCTTTGAATTTCTTTGAATTTCTTTGAATTTCTTTGAATTTCTTTAAATTTCTTTGAATTTCTTTAAATTTCTTTGAATTTCTTTGAATTTCTTTGAATTTCTTTGAATTTCTTTGAATTTCTTTGAATTTATTTTATTTCTCATATTTTTCATACCAGGGCGAATCATAAGAAGTTTCACTTCAAAAAATTAAAGAAATCAAAATATTATATTTTCTTACCTTGATATTGATTAATTTTTTGGGAAATATCAGATTTGAAACATATATCCGTATAATTGTTGGTAAAATTTTGCGATAGAAATACACCCGTAATATTTTGACCTTCTTTTAGATTTCCTGTAACAAAAAATAAAGTAAAAAATAAGTTAGAAAGCAATAATTAAAAATGATAGTTTTAACAGTACCTGGGCAGAGTCGCGGAGCAACTACACCACAGGCTCCACTGGGCAATTTAACAAGGCACCCACCCTGGTAGCCCAATTTTTCGACGCGGCAAATTAATCTATCGCCTGGATTATATTTACAAATATCCCAATCATTTTGTTCACCAAACTCTTTAACGCGTTGAACGTCCGTCAAATATTCACTGAACAATTTTAAAACGCCCTAAAATTTTATTTATTTAACTCATTTGTACAATTTTATTTTTTAGTTACGAACCTCTACGCTGTTGTCAAAAACTTCGGTCAATTGTGCCGTTAATCGGATTTTCTTTGTTTCATGATCAATTTTTACGATTTTAGTTACTATACTTTGAAGTGGTTCAAATGTTGGTAGTGCTTTGCCTTTTTTGGTAATATCCTAAATAAAATTCAAATATGAAAAAAATAATTATTGTGTAGTTTTCGTTGTTAAATGATTTTTACCTTTCTTCTGATCAATATTTTGTCAGTATAATCTAGAATTAGGGGCAAAACGTATATTCCTAATTCACAAGCTGATAAATAGGAACACCTTACTAATATTCCGGGCCTGAGTTTCTTAAATTTCAGTAATTTCAATTCGGGACACCTTTTTAGCGCCAATGATTCTCTAATAGACAACAATCTTGGTGTACTAGAATTGTTTATACATAAAAGATCTTCTAATTGATCTCCAATCTTGAACGTCTCTAAAAATTCAATTAAAATTCTTAACCACGCTACTAAGCGTCTAAACATAAATAATTAAGTCGCAGAATAACCTACCTATTGCAGAAGCGAAGGATAGTTAATTTTTAGGGTCCACATTTTTTTGCGCATGATCAGGACCGCCATTTTGTAACCGACAAATCTGTCATGTCACATACGAGTGTTGTTTTGATGTGTCAAGATCAGTCATTTGGAATTTCTGATTATTTTTATCGAATTTAGTGTTTTTCTTTGTATATTTTTTAACAATTATTGAGTAAATCTGTGTTTGGAAAAATCCGCCAACGCTCGAACGGGCTATTTTTTTTTAACCATTTAAACACATTTCAAAATACTTTTTTTGTCCTGCAAACGCTTTGAAAATATTTTTTTCTTAATTTAAAACTTTAAAATATGGCCTCCAATTTCGATGTTGAAAAAATTTGAACTACATCATTTTGATTAATACTAATACTAATATTAGACCATCCATAAAGTAATAAACCATCCCAAATTTTTTCGTAAACAGTTTTTTTTTAATTTACGACCAGGTTAAAGTTCGTCAAATTGATCTCATTTTCACAAACCCAATGACAATCTCAGAGAGGACAGTAAACAATGTTTGTGTCGCCTTAAATGGTCGAGAATCGCATCCAAAATTCTAATTAGAGAGAAATAGATTAATATCTCTATCTCTATATTTATTTTTCCAGTTATTTAAGTTTTTACTTAAATTCGTTCAAGTATGATGATGTTAAAAGAGACTTTGGTTTGTAGGGTTTATTTTATACTAGGAAAAAACTTGTTAAACTTGTTTTATTTGGTTTCAAATATAAAAGAGGAAGTCCTCACGTTTCACTCGTTAATATTATTTCTTACCAAAAAACATGGGTGTCGTTGTAGGAGAAAAAAAAAAAGGAAAATAAAATATGAATTTTAAAAAAATTAAATTGTTATTAAATTTCATTGTGCAAAATGTAGGAATTATGAACCGACTGATTTTCTAAAGAAGAAGAATAATGAAGATAAGGATGAAATAATAAGAAATAAAGATGAAATAATAAATAGTAAAAATGAAATAATAAAAATATTTCAAGAGAAAATTAAAGAATTTGAAGAAAAAGAGACCTACCTACCATTTCTAATGCTGATATGGTGAAGTTACAAAAAGAAGACAATGAACGAAAACCTAACCCTCCAAAAATTATTATTAAACCAAAAATACCACAGAGTGGAAAGAAAACAAAAACAGATTTAGGAACAAATATTAACCTAGCCGACTTAAAAGTTGGAGTGAAACAATTAAAGATGGGAAAAAATGGTTCCGTTATACTTTCCTGTAAAAAAAAAGAAGCTGAAATTCTGGAAAAAGCTGTTCAAGATAAATTAAAAGATTCATATGATGTAGATCTGACAAAAATGAGAAGACCCAGAATGAAAATCTGCAATTTTACGGAGAATATGACCAATGAAGAAATTGACAAGTCCATTGTGAAACAGAATGACATAACAGGTGAAATAAAAACCACATATATCAGAAAAACAATACATATAAAACTATAACTAAAATTGATACTGATAAATTAAAACAAAAATTCGAAACTGTAAACTGGGAAAGTGTTTGCAATGAAAATAATCCAGAAATTGCAACACAACTTTTTTATGACACGTATCTTAATATCATTGAAACATGTCAAACCACTCAAAATAGTAAAATTAAAATCCATAAAAAAATAAATAAAGCATTTTATTAAAAGTAGGGATTAACTTAAAAAAGATCTACAAAAAAACTATACTATTAACAAACAAACTCACTATAAGACATTTAGAAATAATTTAAACAAACTAATATCTAAAACTAAAAATGACTATTATAACAAAAAAATAAATCAAAACAAAAATGATCTGAAAAAAACTTATCAATTAAACTCTGAAGCAACTAATGAACATCATAAAAAAAAATAATACCAATTTACAGATTGTTAACCAACATAATGAGGAATTTGAAAATGATAATGAAATGGTGAATTGCTGCAATAACTATTTTTCGACTATTGGCACTAATGTGTTCACAAATATCCCTGAATGTAATGTGGATTTTCCTGTATCATTGAAAAATCAATGTTTCTGAAACCGATATGCGAAAACGATATTGTAAAACACATAAATAGTTTAAAAAACAGCAGTAAAACATCTGAAACTACTACATCCGTACTTACTGGAACCTTCAATGCATATAATTAATTGTATTTTTACTTTCCTATCTGAATACAGATATAAGGAAAGTATAGGAATCATGATTTTTTTCGACCTCGAGTTTTCGACGGATTTTTACGTTTTGAGGTCCCCTGAATCCGTTTTGACTATTTTCGCGATGATGTCTGTGTGTGTGTGTGTGTGTGTGTGTGTGTGTGTGTGTGTGTGTGTGTGTGTGTGTGTGTGTGTGTGTGTGTGTGTGTGTGTGTGTGTGTGTGTGTGTGTGTGTGTGTGTGTGTGTGTGTGTGTGTGTGTGTGTGTGTGTGTGTGTGTGTGTGTGTGTGTGTGTGTGTGTGTGTGTGTGTGTGTGTGTGTGTGTGTGTGTGTGTGTGTGTGTGTGTGTGTGTGTGTGTGTGTGTGTGTGTGTGTGTGTGTGTGTGTGTGTGTGTGTGTGTGTGTGTGTGTGTGTGTGTGTGTGTGTGTGTGTGTGTGTGTGTGTGTGTGTGTGTGTGTGTGTGTGTGTGTGTGTGTGTGTGTGTGTGTGTGTGTGTGTGTGTGTGTGTGTGTGTGTGTGTGTGTGTGTGTGTGTGTGTGTGTGTGTGTGTGTGTGTGTGTGTGTGTGTGTGTGTGTGTGTGTGTGTGTGTGTGTGTGTGTGTGTGTGTGTGTGTGTGTGTGTGTGTGTGTGTGTGTGTGTGTGTGTGTGTGTGTGTGTGTGTGTGTGTGTGTGTGTGTGTGTGTGTGTGTGTGTGTGTGTGTGTGTGTGTGTGTGTGTGTGTGTGTGTGTGTGTGTGTGTGTGTGTGTGTGTGTGTGTGTGTGTGTGTGTGTGTGTGTGTGTGTGTGTGTGTGTGTGTGTGTGTGTGTGTGTGTGTGTCTGTATAACGCATAACTCATGAACCGATACACAAAAAAACACCAAATTTTAAACTTAAGCTTTGTTTCAGCGTCCAATGAGCTGATTAGATTTTGGGCAGAGTCGGAACATCTGGGGGGGTACTTTATAGGTGGTCATTTTTATATTTTATGGAATATATCTGTTATTTACGTTTGGAGAAGAAAATTGTTCAAATAAAAGTTACTTCTAATATTATTATCTATAATTTTTGTTCTATGTCAAAATTTCCTGAAATGGTCCGTATTCGAGAAATTTGACAAAATGTGCAAAATTCTGATTTTTATGAAAATTGTTGAACTAAAAGTTGTTTGCGATATCGATTTCTATAATTTTTGTTTATATATGATTTTTCTAAAATGGACCGTAATAGAAAAGTGCTAAATTTAAATTTTTCTGTATTTTCGTTTTCAATGAATATCTATAGAAAAATGTTTTGAGGTAGATGTATGTGGAAAATGTATATATTTAGTTTATCCTCTAAACATTTATAGGTTGTACAAAATAACCGGAAAAAGCCTATAATAACTAGATAGGAAAGTCATGTGTTGGACACATCAGATTTTTAATACAGAAATCGTACCTAAACAATTTAAAACTTCAATTATAACACCTCTTTATAAAGCTGGTAATCCAAAATTTATAACTATAGGCATATTAGTTTAATTAATAATGTGACCAAAATATTTGACAAATGTGTGAAAGATAGATTGACAGATTTTTAAAAAATAATGACTTACTTCTCAAGCACCAATATGGCTTTACTGAGGGTCTTAACTCGGGAGATGCTATGCATGAATTGATTTCATATGTTACTGATGAAATGAATACTGGTAACAAGTGTATAGCTATATTTCTAGATCTAGCAGAAGCATTTGACACGGTGCCACATCAGAAGCTCTTAAATGTTCTTGAACAGAATGGGGTGAGGGGCATCGTGTTGAAGGTTTTTGAAAATTATTTGACACAGACAACAGAAGGTAAAGGTCAGAGACAATGTGAGTAACCCTAAAAATATACAAATCGGAGTACCTCAAGGGACTGTTCTGGGACCTATACATTAAGAGCTTAACTCAGATTGATATTCAAGGTAAAATTGTATCATATGCTGATGATACAGTACTAGTCATCAGTGATAAAGATTGGGAAGCCGTCAAGACACGTGCTATAGCCTGAATGGAACATGTCAAAAACTGGCTGGATGTTTTTAAATTGTTTTTGAATGTTAACAAAACAAACTACATTGCTTTTTCACAGACAGTTGCTGATCGACCTTCAATTTAGAAGCTTAACATGTCAAAATTTAGACATACAGGAAACAGAAACATCCAAATATTTAGGTATACTTATAGACCAGCACTTAAAATGGGACTGTCATATAATATATATAGCAAAAAAACTTAGATTTCTGATTTATAAATTTTATCTTTTAAAACTAATAACATTATAGTACAGTCTAGTAGAATCTATACTACGGTATAGATTGTGTCCCACCGTAACTTTATATAATGAAAAAATTAGCAATGTTACATGTTTATATATTCACGCAGTGTGTTGTTATATACAAAAAAATTAATTTTTAAAAAACCCTTTAGAACATAGACATAACACTAGAACTGCATCGAACATGTGCATTAAAGTACCAAAACCAAATAGTGAGTTCTATAACGCTCTACCTCTTCATATAAAATTATTAAACAAATATAAAAAATTCTGTAAAGTTAGCAAAATATGCATTTTCCAAAATAATGCAAAGTTTATCAGAATATTCCAAGAATAACCGACTTAATACATCGATTTTTTTAAATAGTTTTTTTCTGCTTCTTGCATAAATTGTTCAAGTTTTATTTTTTATTTAAAAAAAAAAAATGTTTTTTTTTATTTCCTTTATAATTCATTAAATATAATTAAAATAAAATTTTAATTTTTGTCAGCACATACAGGTGTTCTCACCTAGGTGCTTGTTATTATATCATTGGTTTTTATTATTGTACTTTATTGAAACTTATTTATTATTGTAATTCATTGTAACTTATAACTATTAAACATTATATAAGTTTTCCAAAATAGTCCTAAGATACATCGTTGATGCACCCTGGTTCTATCTAAACGATTATCTTCATACAAACATGAAGATGCCAACAGCCAAAGAAGAAATAAAAGAGGTTACTGCCAAAGCATGATTGTCGACTCCATTCCCACGTCAATGAAGACGTGCTGCAATTACTGGACAACTCTGCACTCAACAGAAGACTCGAAAGAAAGAAAAGCCGTTTGAGCTAGTGCAGTGAACGTTAGTGCTAGTGTAAAACAACGATGAACAACTACTAGACTAATTTTGTGTACAAAAATTGAATTTGTCCTCGGTCCTTTCCTTTATCTCCTATTTACTGCTGACATAGCTGTTAAAGATGACATCGTTGTGGCAACATTTGCCGATGGCACAGGAATCCTTACATCAGACAAAACTCCAGATAGAGCGTCTGAAAAGCTGCAAAACTTTTTAAACTTGCTACAGACATGGTTAGAACGATGGAAGATTAAGGATAATGGTGAAAAGTCCACACAAATTACATTCACAACAAGAAGGTGTGATTGTCCACAGGTTTACATCAATAACGTTCCCATCCCCATCAAAACAGAAGTTAAGTACCTAGGACTCCATTTGGACCGGAAGCTGACGTGGAAAAATCATATAACCAAACCGTCAAATACGAAAATACTACAAACCTTTCAATCAAAGACGCTGCGTATGATAGCAAATGCTCCATGGTACGTTACCAATGCAACAATCCACAATGACCTTGGGATACCATTTATAAAAGATGTTATTTATAAAAGATCACTCTACATGAAAACAAAGCCAAAGAAAGAAATTTCGCTCACGATAGCCGAACTATAAATTTACTTTACCAGCTGCCGCTATTGCGAAGAAGGCTTAAAAGGACATGGCCAGAAGACCTAACTGGAGAATCATCACTGGATGGTGCCAAAAACAAGCCACAAATCAAACTATTTGCTAAATACTCTTTGTTTTGTAATTAGAGTATATTGTAAATTTGCACTAAATAAAAAAAAAATTGAATTGCAAACAATCACGTATTTATCCACCAAGTTGTCAAATTATTATAAAAGAGTATGGCGAAAGTCTTATTACAAGAATTGTTTATGGTATTATTGACATATCATCAAGGCTCTAAAATACATAAAAGACTTTCAAAATTACTTATATTTGCATTCTTAATGCCACTTTTCCAGGAAAGTACACAATTAATACATCAATAAATTGTAATAGAATCACTCTGTTAAAAAGTTAATGTTATCAAAAAAAAACTGATGAATTAAGAACAAGGAGATTTTGATCTGGTTCCTCAAGTAAAAACCTTTTTTAATTTAGCGATCAGTACAATTTACTTCAAAATAAATTATTGTGAAGCCTAATTTTTCTAATTATATCATTAACCTTCAATTCAGAGAAGAAATAGTGGATGTTGATAAATAATAACAATAACGTCTTTATTATTTCTATAAAAATACAAAACATAATAAAAATATTTTATAATAAAACAAAATATAGAAATAATAGGCGAACTTCATCCTTTGTAAATAATAATAATAATATTAATAATAATAATAATAATAATAAATGGTCTTTATTCATCATAGTTACACATTTACAATAACAAAAAATCTGATGTGTCCAACACATGACTTTCCTATCTAGTTATTACAGGCTTTTTCCGTTTATTGTGTACAACCTATTGCAGCATCTCTATAAATGTTTAGAGGATAAACTAAATATATACATTGTCCACAAGCATCTACCGCGAAACATTTTTCTACAGATATTCATTGAAAATGAAAATACTGAAAAATTTAAATTTAGCACTTTTCCTACAATTTTTCCATTACGGTCCATTTAAAAAAAAATCATGTATGAACAAATATTATAGAGATCGATATCGCAAACAACTTTTATTTCAACAATTTTCATAAAAATCAGAATTTTGCACATTTTGTCAAATTTCTCGAATACGGACCATTTCAGGAAATTTTTACATAAAGCAAAAATTAAAGATAATAATATTAGAAGTAACTTTTATTTGAACAATTTTCTTCTCCAAACATAAATAACAGATATATTCCATAAAATATAAAAACGGCCTCCCATAAAGTACCCCCCCCAGATGTTCCGACTTTGTCCAAAATCTAATCATTTCACGTCAGGCCGAAATAAAACTTAAGTTTAAAATTTATTGATTTTTTCTTTATCCGTTTTTGAGTTTTCTTCAAATTTCGAAATTTACACATTTTCTCAAATATCTCGAATACGGTCCATTTTAGAGAAATTATCTATGGGACAAAAATTATAGAGAATTATATTACAAACAACTTTTGTTTGAACAATTTTTATAAAAAAATAATTTTTTTTACATTTTGTCAAATTTCTCAAATACGGACCATTTTAGAAAAATTTTGTATAAAACAAAAATTATAGATAATTATATTAGAAGTAACTTTTATTTGAAAAATTTTCTTCTCCAAACGTAAATAACAGATATATTCCATAAAATATAAAAAAAGACCACCTATAAAGTACCCCCCCAGATGTTCCGACTCTGCCCAAAATCTAATCAGCTCATTAGACGCTGAAACAAAGGTTAAGTTTGAAATTTGGTGTTTTTCCGTATATCGGTTCATGAGTTATGCGTTATACAGACACACACACACACACACACACACACACACACACACACACACACACACACACACACACACACACACACACACACACACACACACACAGACACACACAGACACACACACACACACTGACACACACACACACACACTGACACACACACACACACACTGACACACACACACACACACACACACACACACACACACACTGACACACACACACTGACACACACACAGACATCATCGCGAAAATAGTCAAAACGGATTCAGGGGACCTCAAAACGTAAAAATCCGTCGAAAACTCGAGGTCGAAAAAAATCATGATTCCTATACTTTCCTTATATCTGTATACAGATAGGAAAGTAAAAAAGAAGGAAAGTGATGAAAAGGCGAAGTTCAGCACAAGGCTGTTTTTCAACTTAACCTGCAACGCAAATAAATACATTCTATTTCATACACAAAATGAATATTGATGAAAACAGCTTAAATTATATATACAAAATTTATTTTTCAAGAGAGTAAACCTATTTCTTGACAGTTCATGTTTTCGTTTTATAATGCAGATTGATTAGCTAAAAGGTTTTCTTTGAGACGTTTCTTAAAATTAAGAATACTGTAGGATCTATATTCCGCCGTTATATCATTATATTTTTTACTAGCAACGTACGAGAATGATCTTTCGAATAATGTGGTACTATGCATGGGTACTATGTTTGATCATTTACAAAGCATGATCTACCACTTAACCTTTTGTTCTACCACTTAACCCTTAAGTTTATTACAGATATTTAAATCCTTTTCTCAGTGTATTATCCGAATTTATACGAATCTTATTCATTTTTACCAGTGTAACAACCGGCAAAAACGTCAACTGTCACGGAGTCACTTAAAATTTTGACCACCCCGACATTAGAGAGCCGCCGCAAACCTTCGCTTCTGTAATAGGTAGATTATTCTGTGATTATGTATGAAAATATACTTACTTAAAACGATTGGACACAAGGATAAATTGCTACTAAGATGATTTACAGGAACAATTCCTACAGGTTTTCCTCTTGACGTTTTAACAAATATTTTATCTTTCTGTATGTCACTAACTACTCCATTAATTTTTTGGCCCACCGCTAGAGCTCCGAACGTTTCATAATCTATAGGCTGACGTAGAGACAGTATGACTTTGTCATTTATAACGCCCAATACCCACGGATTCACCTAAAGATATAAATAAAATTAAAACCAAAGCTCATAAAACATGAAATTATTAAACTTACAACTTGTCCTCTGAAGAAAAACTGTTGGGGATCTGGCTTCTGATCATCGTCCTGTTCATCCAAATATTGTTTGCTGATCCATCCATTGACATTACCATAAAAAACAACAAATGCTCCTGTAGGTTTGGTTGAAATAATCACTCCCGGGAAACGATCTCCTCTCTTGGCCTGTTCTAATTTTGTTAGACATTCTTCCGAGTCTACCTGGCTCGATTTTAAGGTTAAAAGAACATTTCCGTCTTGAACACTCAGTACCCTTTAAATTACAATAGTGAAATTAACAATATTGGCACTCTTTTACATCCCAATGGTTAGAGATAAAAAATAACAGAGATAATTGATTCTACATGACTAAAAACACTAGTTGGCATTAAATTTGTAAAAAATTGTTGATCTAATAGAAAGAAAAGTACACAAATAAAAAAAGAAAGTTGCAAATTAGGTGAAAAATGGTAAGAACGCCAAAAAAATATTTGCTGATCTCAAAAATCTTTATTTTGATAGCAGTACCAAACATTATAGTCTAATAGCCCAAGACACTCGACAAAACGTCATCGGGATTGTTGATAAAATGGGTGTATGATTGGTGTATATGGGGGAGTAACGAACCCCCATGCTGACTGACCAAGCAAATCCCGTACAAACGTAGTACAATTAATTATTGAATTATTTAACTACGAACATTTGCGTGATCGAAAATGTGAAAAAAAATATTGCCTTATGGAAGGCAAAGAGCGTTTTCAAAAAATATAGGTGTGCCTACTCCTACCTAGCATGTGCCGAACCCTTATTGACCGGACGTGAAGGGTTTGTTTATAACAACTGAACTTAAGTCACTTTTTCTTTTTAAATTTTTATTTTCCCCACGATAAATACAAAAGTTACAAAAAGAGGCCAGCGCCGAGTGTTCCGGTGTTAGAAAAGTGAATGTGGTCTTTCCTCGATTAGAAGATTATTTTCAAAGGCAATGCGGTCTTCTACCAGTGAAGCAATGATGGAAAAGGGACTAGCGTTGCCTCGTGATCGACTGTGAATAGGGGATTAACGTTTTCACTGGTTGCCGGAGAATTTGATGGCAGTTTTAAGAAGTTCCGACTTCGAAACCAGATCGCTATAAAACTTAACTGGTCTCTTTTACGAAAGTTTCGAAAGTCTACACAAAAATGGCTAAAAAAACTGAGTTACGTCGGGAATTAGAAGATCGTGATCTGAAGATGACAGGGAAGAAAGCAGAGCTAGCAGAACGTCTTAAAGAAGCAATAGAAAGTAAAGGTTTGGATCCGGAAATATATTTATTTTCGGATGATGCATCTTCTGCTATAATTTCTTCAATTTCTTCCGATATCGAAAGTAAGATGACCTCTATGAAAACTAATATTTCCTCTAACATTTCTTCATTACAGACTTCTGATGTTTCCTCTGTAAAAAATAATTTTTTCTACTTAGAAACTAAAGTTTCTTTTGACATTACTTCCTTGGAAACTAAAGTGTCTTCTGACATTACTGCCTTAGAAAGTAAGTTTCATCTGATATTTCTTCCTAAGGTATTTTTTGAAATGTCTTCAGATTTACAAAACAAAATCTCTTCATCGAAAGATTCAATTTCTTCTGTCTTCTGCTGATGTGGAAAACAAAATATCTTCTGTAGAAGAGATGGAAAAGAAGATAGAAGAAATGGAACATATAAGACAGGCCAAGGACGGTGAAATAAAGTGCCATGAGGTGGAGTCAAAGTTGAAATTGGAAGGAGCTGTAAACACTGCTCGTGTTAAAGTCCCAACTTTCGACGGGAAGATGTCATGGACTAACTACCTTAAACAGTTCGAAATAGCTGCCAGGGCAAACGAATGGTCTGAAAGGGAAAAGGCAGTAAATTTGGCCATGGCCCTTCGAGGAGACGCTTTAGATGTCCTGCAGACTATACCCGTGGAAGAGACAGCTGATTTTGAACAACTCAAAAAGAGACTAAACACGCAATATGGCCACGAACACTTAGAACATTTGTACCAATCATACGAAGATATTTGCCAGGTTGGTACGGTTCATTTACCAAACAACTCCACAAAACATGATGGAATGTTTGACAGTTCAAACATTTGTTGATGGACTCCGTGACCTCAAGATGCAGAAAACACTTTGCTTAGCCCGTCACGAAACATTGGTCGATGTCTTTTCCGCTGAGCTAGAGTATGAGGCAGCTAAGCAGGCTTCTGGAGGATTCAGTAAAGTGAGGACTGTGAAAGAAAACGTGGAAGATAAACTTAACCAATTAGTTAACATAATGAAGAGCTTTGCTGACAAAAAGATAAAGATGAAGACTATCAGATGCTGGAATTGCGGTGAACTGAGACATGTACTCAGTTCGTACAAACGCCCAAGGCTCCCTACAAATGAAGACAACACGCTGCAGAGTTGGCCCGAAACCGTTTCAAAGAACCTCTCATACTGGTAGCCTCTTTGAAATGGCGCAATGAGTGTATGTAGATATTATTAATTTAGGTTGGAAAGGGCAATTTTCATTTATTTCCAGCAGGATTGCCAATTGTATCCATAATCAATAATTTAACTGCATATACATATGGTGGTGTTTTTGATATTGAAGATGCTGAAGAAAATCTTTCTGGGAACTTTTTTAATGATTTTTATCAATTGAATTTAGAGAAATTAAATTGGAATAATGTGACTCTCAGTGGAAAAAAAGAAAAAGTTAATAAGACTAGAAGAAGAAATAAAGGAGATGAAGAAGAAGATGATGATAAGGAAGAAATGGAAGTAGAAAAAATTGAAGAAAAAATAGAACAAACTACAATATCAGATGATGGTATTTTTAAAGTAACTGTTGGCCTTGCACCTACCTGCTCCAAATCAAATGCCATTTTTGATAAACAACAAGATTTAACCATTTTATTTCAACCATCTCCAAGAATGAATTGTGGTTTGGCCATCAAACATGGAATCTACTTGTATGGAGGAATGTTTGAGGATGGTGACAAATTACTTTTAGTGACTTTTATTCTTTAGACTTAAAAAAAGTTAGTTAGATGAATGGAGAACTATTATTGCTGATGATACTTCAAAGGTAGATTGGTTGGGATCAGATTCAGAGAATGAGGACGAAGAAGAGGAAAGTGAAGATGACGATGAGGAGAAACTAGATTCAGAAGGTTCAGGAATGGAGACAGATTAGTTAAAGAAATGTGTTATGAATTTAATTTAGGTACTTGTTTTATAATTTGACTTACATAACATTAAAAAACAATTTATACTAAAAGAAAGCCATTTTACGTTTTAAACGGGAAACTAATTTGGACCTCTATCGCCTCGTGAAATGTTATCGATTTTTTAGTGAACAGGAGCACATTGATTTGAATAAATTTGTCAGTAAACTCGAATTGGTGAATTTAATTTTTTTCACTAATTGTGCTTTATCGTGTAACAAATCAATGAAATATTGGTTTAGGTTACTTACTTTATTTTTTGTAAACCATAGTATCGTATTTATGTGACAATTTGCGTTTTTGAGAAGACTGAGACTTTGTTCAGATCTGGGTCACTTATAGCGCTGTGGAAGTAACGTTGCTATCAAGTCAACTAGCTATACAAAGCTTCTTTCTATCATTACTTAACTCAGCTCTTCTTTTAGTTTGTACTCTCTTATTAATTAATTTAGGCATTGTTTCTGATAAAAGAAGGTATGAAACTAAGTGCGGATTAATTAATAAAAGAGGTACTTTTCTCAATTTCTTCTGCTACTGTCCTGTCCTTTTTAGTTTTTTTTATTATTTTTTATATAACCTAGAGGGTTATTTGTTACATCAAATTTATTTTGGAATATCTTTCGAATTCACTAAACTGATAAATTAATTATTTATTTATTCACGGGCCTTGCCCACTTTCAGTACAAAGTTACAAATAAAAACAAAAAAACCTCAAATAGGGTCAATCTAAATAATATTTCATAATAATGATAAACTAATAAACTAACAAACAACAAAAATAGTAAATATATTAAAATGTACAAAATCGAAACAACTAATATTAAGACTAGGGAGTTTAAGTCACAGTAAGTTTTAACACCCTCACAAAATTAGAAAAGCTTGAATTATAAAATTCTAGACCATCAGCACAAGCATTATCTGGGAATATGCCCGAAGCAAGAGACTTATTAAATATAATATGAAGTGGCCACGAGAGAACAAAACTACAAAATCTGAGAACAGAAGGGGGGATACCATAAGATCCTGGTCCCTTGGTAATGTCAATATTAGCCTTTTCTTCATAAATGGTTGATATAGGAATAACATACTCAAATATACAAATGTGATTAAGTGACAGTTTACTTTGAGGATCAATATTCTTATCAGTATATACTGACTGGAATTATTCTGCGAAAAGATCAGGTAAATCTGATCCCAAATAACATTGAATATCATTAAAGAATAGCAATGGTGGTAAATCATTCCCGTTCCGCTTACTCTTAACAAAATCCCAAAACTGTTGGTAGCACCTTTTTGATAAAGTTTTACAATCAGAACGTAATTAACTATAGTAAACATAATCGCTTTGTAATCCTGAACTTTCAAATTTTTTGTGAGCTTGTTTTTTAAATATTGTCAGCTGCTTTAACTCTGGGGAGAATCATAATGGAAATTTTCTTTTGATGTTTTTTTTTGTGGAATTATAGCATGGTTAAAAAAAAATAGAGAATATCGTTATTTTGAGCAATCCTTTATTTTTTGCACAACAGTAGGCGGGTGTAATAATTACAGACTAAAAATGGGTATAGTTTGGGAATTATATCAATCCTTATTTTTTATTCACTCCGTGCATGACTGCAGCGCCAATTCATTTATGTACTAATGGACTATTTTTGCGTATACTGACAATACAATTTTTAATTGAATTCGTAATTAAAAAGTATAATATGTTAGTTTTAATAAAAGTATATGGATTTGTAAAACAAGTGAAACATTAATTTTTTATTATTATATATTTTTAACGTTTAAACTAAAAAAACACTAAGTATAATCAATAAAAATTGTTAGGTATTTACGCGTTTTTTTCCTTAATTTATATTAATTATTTCATGTTGATATTTATCATAAGTAATTGAATGCTAGTGACCCTTAATTTTTTTTATCAAAAAGAGTTTAATTTATTTGAAGCCAATATTTCGGGAAACATTTGCGTCGGCGCACATCTGTGCGTTTGAAACGGACTTTTTTTGGATTTTAACAAGTAGTACCGTCTGAACCG